AGTTATAAAGAAGTGTTGGCATTACCAAAAGCTGAACAAGAAAGATGGAAGGAGGCCATGGATAAAGAGATGAAATCCATGGGAGACCATAAAGTATTTAAATCAGTGACTTTGCCACAGGGAACAAAAGCTGTGGGTTGTAAGTGGGTATATAAAAAAAAGGTATTGCCAAATAATGATATACAGTATAAGGCCAGGTTAGTGGCACAAGGTTTTTCACAATTAAAGAATGTGCACTATGATGAAGTATTTGCGCCAACTGTGAAAAGTGAGAGTATAAGATTAGCACTGGCGTTGGCAGCGGCATATAAGCATAAAATCTGGCACTTTGATATCACAACTGCATTCCTCAATGCTGAGTTAGAGGAAGAAATTTATATGATCCAAGCACCAGGATATGAAATTGCAAAACCTAACATGGTATATAAATTAAACAAGGCTATTTATGGGCTGAAGCAGTCAGCCAGAAACTGGAATATCTATTTAGATACTGCTTTAAAGGATCTTGGATTTAAAAGTTGCAAAGCTGATAATTGTATATATACTGGACAGTTACAAGGAGGTAATTGTCTACTGTTATCATTTGTGGATGATCTTTGCTTCATCGCAAAGGATGCATCACAAGTCAAAGAATTTGCTGATAAATTAGGAAAGAAATTTGAATTAAAGAATTTGGGAGAAATAAAAAAATTATCTTGGTGTAGAGATACAGAAAAATGAAAAAGGTGATTATATTCTCAGTCAAAGGAGAAAAATTGAGCAATTATTGGAGAAATATAATATGAAGGATTGCAATACTTCTCCCACACCCATGAGTGCGGATTTTTATAATAGTTTAAGTGCGGACAAAGGTGAAACCTGTGATCAAGAGATATATCACTCAGCAATAGAGAGTTTGTTATATCTATCACAGTGGTCCAGACCAGACATAGCTTGTGCAGTAAGCATTTTGAGTCGTTTTACTGCTGCACCTACAAAGTTACATTGGATGGGTGTAAAAAATGTTCTCAGATATTTAAAGGGAACTATAAATTTGGGTCTTCAAATACAGATTACTGAGGAATTGAAATTAAAGTGTTATGTCGATAGTGACTATGCAAATGACATAAACACAAGGAAATCAAATTCTGGGATTATAATATTGTTTGGAGGGACTCTGATTGGATGGAAATCCAGAAAACAAATAACTGTTGCTATTTCAACAGCGGAAGCAGAGTTTATTGCTTTATCTGAATTGTGTTCTGAAGTTACATGGTATGTACAGTTGTTGCAAGATTTAAATATTAATGCAAAAGAATCTGTAAAGGTATTTGAAAACAATGCTGCCTGTATAAAAATGGCAACTGGTGACAGGGTGAAGAAGTAAACATGTAGACATTAAGTATTGTAATGTCAGGGAAGCTGTAAAAGGAAAATTGATTAGTTTACATCATTGTTCTTCTGAAGATAATTTGGCAGACATGATAACTAAACTATTGGGTGGTATTCACTATGGAAAATGTGTTAAGTCAATAAGTCTGATGTCTCTTCCTGTCATGAAGGGAGGAGTGTTGGAATATTCATGAACAGGAAGAGTCATGTGATAACTCAGTCAGCCAATGGGAAGAAAATGCTACTGAGTCTGTGCAAAAAGAGTATTGAGTTAGGAGCTGGATTTCCAGTCTCAAGGTCTTGTCTCTGGTCTGTCTCTGTAAGAAATCTTCATTGAGCTATGTTGCTGTAAGGAAGAATGGTATTGTAAATATTTTTATATAAATATAAAGTTATTTGAATCAGCTAAATGCAGTCAACTGTGAGAGCTTCTGATTTATTTTTCACCAATAGAGAAATTAAAATTCTCTAACAGTATGTAAGAAGCACATCACAATAGTAATGGGGGATTTCAACTACTCTGACATCAACTGGGAGACAAACTCTGCACCAAGTGGAAGATCAAACAGATTCCTGACAAACCTAGCAAACAACTTTGTCTCCCAAAAAGTAAAACTAGGGGATTAACCATTTTGGATCTAATTCTCACTAACAGAGATGAAATGATAGAAGGTGTGGAAGCCATAGGAACCTTGGGAGGAAGTGATCATGCAATATTGGAATTCAACATTATGGAAGCACAAGCAATAGAACACAGTCAAACTAGAGTCTTGGACTTCAAGAGAGCTAATTTCAATAAACTTAGGGTTTGGGAAGGATTCTATGGATGAGAATCCTCCAGGGGAAAACCGAGGCTTGGGAAATTTTGAAAAGTGAGATAATAAAAGCACAGTTTAGCACAATACCAACAAAGAGGAAAAATAACAGCTCTCAAAAGAAACCAGCATGGCTGCATAAAAAACTCTCTGATCAATTGAAAGATAAAAAAGGACAAGTATAGAAAGTAGAAAGAGGGACACATAACTAAGTCAGAATATCAGCAAATAGCTCGAGCCTGCAAAGATGAAATGAGGAAAGCTAAGGCTCAAAATGAACTAAGGCTTGCAACCAAAGTCAAAAATAACAAAAAAAGCTTCTTTCAACATGTAAAAACAAGAAAAAAGTGAAGGAAATGATTGATCCATTAGTGGGTGAAAGTGGCAAGAAGGTGACAAGCAACAGGGAGAAAGCAAAACTATTTAACTCGTTTTTCGCATCTGTCTTTACACAAAGGGAAAAAACAGACCAACCTATCAAAAATAGTGCCATAAAAAACAAAATAGAAATACAAGTTAAGATAGGCAAGAAAATGATTAAGTGAGCACCTGTCCAGCCTAAACAAGTTCAAATCATCAGGACTAGATGGATTACACCCAAGGTTCTCAAGGAAATGGCAGATGTGATCTCAGAACCACTGAACTGTATTTTTCAAAGATCCTGGAGCACTGGGGAACTGTCAAAGGACTGTTATGGTTATATATGCAACGTTGACAAGGACTGGAAAAGAGCTGATGTAGTTCCCATCTTCAAAAAAGGGGGGAAAAAGGACCCAGGAAATTACAGACCTATCAGCCTGACCTCAATATCTGGGAAGATTCTGGAAAAGATAATCAAATAACAAATCAGTGAACACCTACAGGCAAACAAAGTCATTACTAAAAACCAACATGGGTTTGTCAAAAACAGATCATGCCAGACAAATCTTATTGCATTCTTTGACCAAGTGACAAAATTAGTGGACCAGAGGAATGCTGTAGATATAATTTACTTGGACTTCAGTAAGGCATTTGACAAAGCAGATCACAACCTACTACTTGATAAGATAGAAAAATGCGGGTTAGACAGCATCACCACAGATGGATCCATAGCTGGCTGACCAGCTGTAATCAGGCTGTGGTCCTCAATGGAACTACATCTATATGGAGGGAAGTGTGTAGTGGGGTGCCCCAAGGCTCTGTTCTGGGCCCAGTGCTCTTCAAAATCTTCATCAACGATCTGGACGAGGGGATAGATGGGGAACTCATCAAATTTGCAGATGACACCAAGCTGGCAGGAATAGCCAACATTCCAGAAGACAGGCTTAGGATACAGGAGCATCTGCACAGACTTGAACACTGGGCGCTATCTAACAAAATGAAATTCAATGGTAAAAAAAGTAAGGTTCCAATATTTTAGGGCAGTGATGGTGAACCTTTTAGAGACCGAGTGCCCAAACTGCAACTCAAAACCCATTTATGTATCATCGGGTGCCGGGTGGGTGTGGCTCATTGGGTGGATGTGGCCCATTGGGTGGGCGTGGCTGCAATGGTAGTGACAGACTGGGTGGGACTAAAAAGTTTAATCAATCAATTTTAATTTTGCAAGATCTTTTTTTCCCCCGCGAGAAGTTGAAATTGATTGATTGAACCTTTTCTTTTGCACACGGATAAAAGAAGGAGATATTTTGGGTTAAAACTTTGAAGAGAACCAAGCTTTGAAAACTTCTCTTCCGCTTATTGCAATAAACAAAACAAAAGGCCTTCACTGTGTCTTTGTTGGTTATTGGTCAGGCGAGCTTGCCTCTGGTTACGAAGGAAAATAGCCAGGAGCACATAACACTTAACAATAATTCACTTAACAATTATGGCATAAAATGGGGCAAAACTCACTTAACCAATGTCTCACTTAGCAACATAAATTTTAGGCACAGTTGTGGTTGTAAGTTGAGGACTATCTGTATTAAGAAAAAAAACTTTTAATAAAAATATATTCTTAAAAAACTAACGCAATAAATGCCAAATGGGAGAGAAAGGAAGGAGCGAATAGAAACCTATAACTTATATGGCATCCTACTTTGAATAATAATTTTTTTAAAGCAGCAATATTGTTTTGCTATTTTCATGCTAACAAAATATAAAACTAAGTTTTTTCCAGAGAAGTGCAAATTTCTGAGACTGATTTGTTTTTTGTTGCCTCCCACCTGAACTTTGAAAGAGAAATTAATAGCCTGATCAAATTTTATCCCAGAATGCAATGCCATATTTTTCAGGGATAATAAAGTGGGAAAGAGAGATAGTGAATGTCAACTTTTATCCATTCAGCTCATAGAGGAAAAACAGAAGTATAATCAGATAATAAATCTGTGTAATTTCACCAAGATAGGATACTTTGTATACTATAATCAACCAATAACGAAAAGAACCATCTAGGTCAGAGGTCTTCAAACTTAGCCCTTTTATGACTTGTGGGCTTCAACTCCCAGAATTCCTCAGTCAGCGTGCCTGGCTGAAGAATTCTGGGAGTTGAAGTCCACAAATCATAAAAGGGCCAAGTTTTAAGACCCCCTGTCTAGGTTGTAACTGCAGAATTATCTAAAAAAAAGTACTCAAATCTATTTAAAAAATGAGGCAACTTCGTACCCAAAAAAATAGCTTATGATCATGGCAAGGAAAAACGTACAATAGTAATTTCAGCGAACAGAAACATAACGAAGTAGGAAAACAGTTTGAACAATTTAGGAAGGATCTTTCTTTAGGAAGGATTTCATTTCTCCCTACAATAAGAAAAAGAGGAAAAGGAGGAAGAAGAGCAAGCTAAACATTTCAACCTACCTTTTTTCTTGCAACTCATCAGACTCCACTCCAATCGAACCCAACCCCTTTTTCAAAGAGTGCAGACTTTCTAACTCCCTTATCAAGCTACTGGGATGGTTCTACGCCTGCGCGAACCGGCCTTTTGCTAGCCGAAGGAGCGCAGATTTTCTAACTTTTAATCAAGCCACTTCTCCACATTGGGTAGTTCTGCGCATGCGCGAGCCGGCCTTTTGCTCGCCGAAGGAGGAGCGCAAATTAAGATGGCAGCGGCCTTGCTGTGGTGTCGGACATGTGAGCCACGTTCCTTCCTATTCATATGTAAGAACTTACCTTCTTTTCCTCTATTTGCGTCATTCTCTTCCCCCCCCCCCCGAGTTAGAGGCACAATCTGCACATGTATTAATCGTTCTCCACTTCTTTATAGATTAGTTTACAAAGTCGTAGAGGATCCCTTGAATCCGGGCAGTTTCCGTCTAATTCAGTTTTGTTCTGAAATTACAGAGCCAGCGGAAAATAGTTGGCTGGGGAATCCTGGGAGTTGAAGTCCAGGCATTTTCAAGTTACCAAGTTTAAGAAACGCGGCTCTAGACGGATTTAGGTTTCCTAACCCTGCACGGGACAGTCCTACAATCTATTTTTTTTAGTTGAAGAGGCCCGGAAGTAATAATATAATTATAAAGACATATATTTTAAATTTGACACAAAATGAGTAATCTATAGCCTGTGGGATCATTCCGGATTATAACAGTCAACTTCGTTTAATACAAGGCAGGTTATAAACTGAGATTAACTAAAATGGTAATGAATGTAAATCAGATGAAATAAAATGTTAGTAATAATAAAGTTGGAAGGGACCTTGAAGATCATCTAGTCAAACCCCCTGCTCAGGGAAGAAATCCTATAACGGTGGCGAACCTATGGCATGAGTGCCAGAGGGGGCACTCAGAGCCCTCTCTGTGGGCACATGTGCCATACCTCGGATATGGCAACATTCCTCTTCAACCAGCTGCCCACTAACTCGCTGAGGTCCCACATGACCAGATGCATCCCAGCACCCATGCATTCACTGGCCTTTGCAGCGGCTAATGGTGTCAGGCAGCAGCCGCCCCGTCCCCTGCTTCACCTTGCCCTGCGACAATGGCACCCTCACCTTGCCTTGCCTCGCCTCACCCCGCAGGACGAGCCTCTGCCCACCTGCCAGAGACCCCCTGGATCTCCCCAAACCCTGCCCGGCCCCCACAGGCATCCCACCCCATGAGCAACATCGAGGTGATCACGTACACCTTGGCCACACCCACCCAGTCTGCCATGACCACGACAGCCACGCCTACCCAGTGGGCCATGCCCACCTGGCACCCGGTGATAAATAAGTGGGTTTTGGGTTGCAGTTTGGGCACTCAGCCTCTAAAAGGTTCGCCATCACTGTCCTATACCATTTCAGACAAATGGCTGTCCAGTCTAGGATCTTGCAGCAGCAAATGACACCTTTATTTTTTTTTCCCTCTCATATATATCTGTGCGCTTGCTATATCCTGCAGGACAGTGCTTTTATCTTGTTTCTATTTTCTGCTCTAATGAAAAAGGGTTGTATAACCAGGCAATTCAGTAATTTTTTTTAAAAAAATTAAATGTACTAGCCTTGATTTCTAGTGGATGTGTTCATTTAGGGCACATTAGAAGATTCAGTTGCAAACTGTCTACATTTACAAAATTATCTTTTTGTAGAACACAAACTCTTATCTCTGAAAGGATAGATTTCAAGAACAATTAACTCGGGAGGTATCATTTATAGTTTTTCAATTTGTGTTTCTGTAGTGGTAGACTCATACACTTTCAAGAGATGTTCTCAACATGTAAATCTATGTCTTAACTAACAAACATTCCTTTGCATTCTGTGGCACACTGCCAATATTTATTATATTTATAAGATTATAAATGAACAAATTTCATGAAAGCACAATCCCAATACAGTTATTGTATGGATATGCCTGCCATTCACATTTATTGTTTATTTTAAGTGTATTCTCATTTCCACAGGAAATTTTGCACAGTAGTGTTTAGAAAATATGAAATAATGTGAAGTGTATTATAATATCAGTTTGCTTATTATGTTGACTTTTGGCTACCAAATATGTTTTATTTATTTACTATAATAACACAGTTCCATGTAATCCAGCCAAAGTATTAAAAAAACTAATATACATATAGCAGTGATGGCGAACCTTTTAGAGACTGAGTGCCCTAACTGCAACTCAAAATCCACTTATGCGACAATGGCACCCTGCATTGTCGAGTGCCGGGTGGGTGTGGCCTATTGGCTGGGTGTGGCCCATTGGGTGGGCGGGGCCATTGGGTGGGCGTCGCTGCAGTGGTAACGGCAGACTGGGTGGGACTAAAAAGTTCAATCAATCAATTCCAACTTTGCAAGATCTTTTTTTTCCCGCGAGAAGTTGAAATTGATTGATTGAACCTTTTTTTTTTTTTGCACACGGCGGTGGAGGCCTAAAACAAAAAGGTTTTATAAAACCCAGCTGAAGGCCTAGGACTGGGGCGATGGGGTGCATGCCCACAGAGAGGGCTCTGAGTGCTGCCTCTGGCACCCGTGCCATAGGTTCGCCACCACTGACATATAGCATGCAAACCTATGATATTTTGGAAAAAAGTTTTGCTATTAGAAATTCTCCAAAAAGTAATATCATTTTCTTAAACTAAATAAATTCCTGGGAGCTAATTATTACTGAAGGTGATGGACCCGAGTTTTGCTCTTAGTAGCAAATCCCGGGGAGGGGGCGTCTGCTTTTATATAAATGACAGATGGTGTAATAATGCCAAGGTGGTTTCAAGTCTGTACTCCCCTGATGTGGAACTTCTATCTGCCTAGAGAATTTTCTGTTATCATTATCACAGCTGTGTATATCCCCCCTGATGCAAACAGAAGATGCCCTGAAGTTCTCTATCATACCATCAGTAAGCTACTCACTCAGAGGGTGCATTTATTGTAATGGGGGACTTTAATCAAGTAGATTTGAAAACTACTCTATCACGTTTCCATCAATATGTGGACTTTGCAATCAGAGGGGTCAATGCACTGGATCTTGCTTATTCCAACATCAAGAAGGTTTTCAAAGCTATCCCCCGCCCACACCTGGGCCCCTTTGACCATCTCTCAGTGCTGCTTATTCCAGCATATAAACCTTTATTAATCAGAGTGAAACCTACAGTAAAGCAGGTGAGGGTATGGACAGAGGGAGCTATAGAAGCATTACAAGACTGCTTTAAGTGCATGGATTGGAGCATGTTTAAAGAAGCAGCAACTGATAACCAACATATAAATGTTGAAGAGTATGCCACCATGATGTCTGTATATATCTAAAAGTGCATAGAGGATGTCAGTGTCCAAGCATTGTTGTGAGGACAAATGAAAATCCGTGGCTGACTTATGAGGTCCACAAGATGCTGAAAGCATGAAATGTGGCAATCCAGCAACATGTTGGCACTTAGAATAGCCAGAGCAAATCTGAAAAGTCCATAAAAGGTGCAAAGCAAACCCATTGCCAGAAAATTCAGAACTTTTTCAGGACCCAACAAACACCAGGCAAATGTGACAAGGAATCCAGGACATTACGGATTATATTACAGGGGTAGTCAACCTTTTTATACCTACCGCCCACTTTTGTATCTCTGTTAGTAGTAAAATTTTCTAACCGCCCACCAATTCCGCAGTAATGGTGATTTATAAATTAGGGAAGTAACTTTACTTTATAAAATTTATAAAGCAGAGTTATAGCAAGTTAAAGCATATAATAATAATTACTTACCAAACACGACGAGTTGTGTTTCTACCAAACAGTTATACTTTGGTTTCATCTGACCATATGACATTCTCCCAGTCCTCTTCTGGATCATCCAAATGCTCTCTAGCAAACTTCAGACGGGCCCGGACATGTACTGGCTTAAGCAGGGGGACACTTCTGGCACTGCAGGATCTGAGTCCCTGGCAGTGTAGTGTGTTACTGATGGTTGCCTTTGTTACGTTGGTCCCAGCTCTCTGCAGGTCATTCACTAGGTCCCCCTGTGTGGTTCTGGGATTTTTGCTCACCGTTCTTGTGATCATGTTGACCCCATGGGATGAGATCTTGCGTGGAGCCCCAGATTGAGGGAGATTATCAGTGGTCTTGTATGTCTTCCATTTTCTAATTATTGCTCCCACAGTTGATTTCTTCACACCAAGCTGCTTGCCTATTGCAGATTCAGTCTTCCCAGCCTGGTGCAGGTCTACAATTTTGTTTCTGGTGTCCTTTGACAGCTCTTTGGTCTTCACCATAGTGGAGTTTGGAGTGTGACTGAGGTTGATAACACGTTCAAACAGGTGCCATTAATACAGGTAATGAATGGAGGACAGAGGAGCCTCTTAAAGAAGAAGTTACAGGTCTGTGAGAGCCAGAAATCTTGCTTGTTTGTAGGTGACCAAATAGTTATTTTCCACCATAATTTGCAAATAAATTCTTTCCAAATCAGACAATGTGATTGTCTGGATTTGTTTTCTCGTTTTGTCTCTCATAGTTGAGGTCTACCTATGATGATAATTACAGGCCTCTCTCATCTTTTTAAAGTGGGAGAACTTGCACAATTGGTAGCTGACTAAATACTTTTTTGCCCCATTGTAGAAACAGGAAGTCTGATGAAATTACATTTAATTAATTAAATTATTAATGAGATCCCTGAGGCTGATGCTGCGAAACTAAATACTGGATATCTGGCTCAATTTTTGTAAGGAACAAACGAAGGTCTCCTCTTTCGGAAATATTCAGGCGGTTTCTTTCTTTGGTCATAATATGATTAACAGCACTAAAGCCTGATTCCACAAGATATGAGGTAGGGAAAGGTATCAATAAACTGAATATCATTTTCCACATATTTGGATATAAGGCAGGCATTTTTTTTACTTTGCCATAGGTTTTCATATCCACCACTATCAAATTTATGTTTACTTTCTTCATCATATCTAATTTCTAACAGTTCTTCTTGGCAAGTTATATCAGCCTCTTCAATATTTGCGGTAAAAGGATTTTTCATCCAGTCATACACCTTCAATTTCAAAATATCTTCAAATCGTTTTTCCATGTCCAATTTAAGTTTGTTGAGGTGGCTACTAAATCTGTCAATATCCTCTGGAGTTACATCATCT